CTGCTAAAACGTGGAAAGCTCTTTTAAAACACAATATCAAAACGGTGTAAATTGTCACATCAAAGAGAAACCTGGATCCTTATGTTTTGTTTTATAAGACAGCACTACTAAATATTCTAAATCTTAACATGGATGCCTATTTTACCTAGAAGCAATTGAGTGGTTTGACCTGTCAGTGTTAAACCAGGAAGCCTTAGCAGAATTCTTACAAAACCTGCAATCATTTACGTCCGTGGTCTTGGTATTTCTTACTCACTTGATGCGGTGCTCATACTAGTTTGCTTGTTATGTTTGCTTTTGAAAAATGCAGGGAATTGGCAAAAGATTTTGTTGTAGCTGGTACTGCCTCTGAGTCTCTCTATGGTGCCTGTGAGGCAATGTTCAAGCCTGATATGGTTTGTAACCCTACACTTCTGATATGCTTATTAGAAAATGTCATCTTGATGGACAAAATGCACTGTATATATGTATGCACTTTTTAAAGCTAAAAGCCTAAAACGCGGTGACACATTTTTGGGGGTTGTCAAAGTGTGAGCAATACCAGTCAGCATCACTTCCCCAAGCTGCATTAGTAATTAGGTTTTATTGATTTTTATATGTAAGTAGATGAAAGTTTAGTTTAATGGAGAACATAAATGAGAAAATTACATATTTTTATTGAGTTTGTAAGGAACCTAGTACAAATCTGTAACTCCCAAGGATTCTGTTTTATTCACAGATGCATGTGTTAAATACGCAGGTAGTCAAGGACTCACCTTTTTTAGATACCTAGTTTAGATATCATGCATACCAAGTCCACGCTATCAGTGTAGTCATAAAATATGACCTTTTATTTATTCTTCTTCTCTTTTTTCAGGAGCCTGAAGAATTGTTTGAGACTGTTTCTCAAGCACTTCTTGCTTCAGTAGATCGTGATTGTTTGAGTGGTTGGGGAGGACATGTCTATGTTGTGTAAGTATTCTCAAATGCCTTTTAGACATTTCTCATAACAGAAAAAAAGGTTTCTGAATAATATTCTTACCCTCTTTTTTCTCCAACCATTGATACCTGTGAACCTGGTATTACTTGAAATCTTCTGCTCCTTCCCTTTCCAAAATCTGTTCTTTTTTTTCATTTTTCTCACCTAGCAAGTGAAGAAATGTGATTGTTGCTAAGTTTCAACATTGTGGGTCTGATTTACAGTTTTCAATCCTTGAATCTTATATGTCTACCAGATGACCAGAGGAAAAAAGAAGGAAAGAAACAGAAACAGAAAGAAATATTATCGTTCCATTTAGTTAGTGAGCTGTATAGCAAAAGAAGTAAAAATTGATTCCAGAGAATATGAAAATCTGAAATAACCATAAGAAAACCCTACGTTGTTTGGGGTAACAGAATTGTTGCACAAGACATTTTGAAAAATGTTTTTCTTTTTTGTTTTTCTATTTTAGGGGGAAAGTGTGTTGTAGTATCATAATAATTTGTTTGGTTTCCTATATTTATGTTGCAGTACTCCTACTGAAGTAAAGGAAAGGATCTTGAAGGGAAGGATGGACTGAGCAGTGAGAAGATCCAAAAGCCAAGCCTTGCTCACTTTGTCAGCCTCCAGTTTCTTTCTAATTGTCAATTATAGATCCTTCTGGTACTTGTTGCTAAATCAAGGCTACCATCCCGTACTTCTTGAATCTTATGTTAAGGCTTGATAAATTCATAGAAATTGGATCATTGAAATTGGATCATTTCTACAATCTAATTGTCATGAATTTGATGTTAACCCTTTGTTCAAGTTGGATTTACAAGGCATGCATGATTGTATTGATTTATCACTATGTTTTTCTTTTTCTCAAATTTTTTATTAGAGGTAAAAATCATAACATCCTAGTCATAAATATGTGGGACATAATAGAGGGGTGGGGTTATTGTTATATCTTAAATGGTTAATACTACACATTTTTAATGGAAGTATTTATTATATTTTTACATTTTTTTTAAAAAAAATTTATATGTTTTTGTTTCTTAATAAATTAAAGGGTGTCATAGTTAATTAAGATAAAAATGTAAGACATTAGTAATTAAATGTGTAATAATAACACTATTCATAATGGAGGTCTTAATTTTATCACATTCATTATTTTGTTACTATCAAATATTGTGATATTTTTAATGTCAAGATATCTTAAAATTTTCACTTTTTAAGACCTCACCCTGTGCTTGGGAAGCATTTCTTCCATCTCTTCTACTTTGCAAATGAAAGGACATCAAGTCATCCAGGTCTGCTAATAGATTTTTGGCAAAACCATAAGTTAAGCCCCTGAACTAACCCCAGAATCGCTATTAAGCCCCTAACTTTAATTGATGCAGTTAAGCCCTTGAACTCCGGGATCAAAGCAATTAAGCCCTTCTTCTCACGCTATTAAGCCCCTAAACTTTAATTTTTAAAATAAATTGCTTAAGAAGAAGGGTTTAATTGCTTTGATCCCAGAGTTCAAGGGCTTAACTGCCAATTAAAGTTTAGGGGCTTAATAGCGATTCTGGGGTTAGTTCAGGGGCTTAACTTATGGTTTTACCTAGATTTTTCATCACAAATGATAATGTAAATAAAAAATTAAAAAAATATATTCATTTATCTAAATAAATATTATCACGAGCAATGTAGCAAGGCCCAGCCCATGGAAACTGGCTTTATATTTTATAACCATTGGAAATACAGTTACCAAAAGGCCATACCATTCTTCTATCTGATATATAAAGTTGGCATCTGCCACAGCATTGGACATAGCCTCTGCAAAATTACATGAACATCCACAGTTTCTTGCTTTTCTTTCTGGGAATACTGTTTCAGTTTTTGCGCGTTAAGGTTTGTAAACTTAAGAGAGCAAACATGGAAGAACTTGTCGATACAATTTAAGAATATGATTCTAGACCTTAGGAGGCAAGAGGCAGAAGCAGGTAACTTTCCCTGCACGGATGGATAAGAGTTCACCAGATTCGAGAGGGATCTTTAGTAGCAGCAAGCATGGCCACTATGAAAACACAATTCACAACATTTGGGTGACTTGAACATCAAAGTTTGCCTAAGAAAGTGCATATCATAGATGAAGAGCTTACTGTCGCAGGAGGCAGTACTACTGGAATGGGATGGGGAATTTCTTGTAGCTGTAATCAGGAATACTGAATTATCATGAGTTTATATGTGTTAATTGTAGCTTGGAATGTACAGAATGCTCAACTGGCCACAGAATAGAGGTATTTATTCGTTTTCACTCTTATTAGTTCTCCATTATCTTGAATATGGCATTGATTATTTCAAGCAAGCATCAGGAGTTGCTTTCCAACAAAGCTGCCATCTTTCCCAAGAAAGCTAAATTTGTGGGCTAAATGCAAAAGCAAGGACAAAGAATCTGAAATTTTTCATCAGTTTGCTTTGCATGAAAGTTTCCTTGGTCTAAAGAAATCTTCCTGCATTATCTCCTTCATATACCTTGATCCAATGCAACATACATCCTCATTTATCATTTCATGGAGAACCAAAACACCGGAAATTCATCCAACAGGGTGTCTTTCGATGAACTAGATCAAGATGACTGGTATTTTGCCTTGGCAACAATATTCCGAGAACGAGAGGGGGATTACACCATGTTTGCAAGATTTGAAAGTGATAGCGAAAGTGATGCCTTGGAAGAATTCAGCAATGACAACGAAGGAGAATTTCTTGAGGGACATGATAGCAGTGATGAGGAAGATGACATTAATCCAGATGAGCTATCCTATGAGGAGTTGATTACTCTGGGGGAGATTATAGGAGTGGCGAAGAGAGGACTCTCTCCAAAAGAGATTTCTTCATGCTTGAGTGTGGTGAAGTTTCGATCTGGGGAGAACAAACGTGAGATTGATCGATGTGTGGTATGTCAAGTTGAGTATGAAGAGGGTGAGTCCTTGGCTGCTCTTTGTTGTGGACACCTTTATCATTCAGAGTGCATATGCCAATGGCTTCAAATTAAGAAGGTTTGCCCCATTTGTGGAACTGAAATTTCATCCTCCATCAGTTTCTCTTAAGTGCTTGTTTATTATGATTTCAAGATATAATTGTCCAATTACAATTGATAAAATGATATGAAAATTTCTAGTTGATAAAAGGATAGAACAAATGCATTCACAAAACGAAAATGATTTGTTGAAAGTGTTTAATGACAACAAGCGATCATAACATCTAATTAGCTAGTGTCGAATGAGCAAATATATACTCACATATCTTAGATAAAAAGAATCAATTAATTAAAATTATATATGTATGTTATGTAATATTATATTATGAGTAAATAATAGGGAGCATGAAAATTT